AGGAAGACCCCCAACGAGATGGATCAGCCAGGTGGCATCATTGATGGACTTAAGTGTGGCAGCGGTAGTGAGGTTGGCCCAGGATCGGACATTGTTTCGGTCTGCTGTGCATGGGGTTGCTATGAGTCGGTTCCAACTCGATGGCACCTGACAACAACAACAACAACTGCCAAACACAGTGCTTCACAAGGGCTCTTCTACTTCCAAAAACACTTTTCCTGAGGGCTAAGCTTCCACCTTGTGGTTAATGGTCAGAAAGACTTCCAGTAGAGGTTAAACATTACATCAGGACTGAACATAGAGTTAGGGCTGCCACTGTAGACCACAGCTTTCCACAAGCCAAGGGCTTTCGGATGTAAGTTGTGATACACCTTCATCTCACTTTGTGGGGTCATGTAACATGTAACAATGGCTCAGGGTCTGGGTAAAGGTATGGAAAATATGGACTTGGGTTAAAAGTACTGTAACCGTGCAGAAGTAAAGAGTGGTTTCAAAAGTCTTATAGAGCTGGAGGTACTGACTCAGTAAACAAAAACCCAGACCCTGAACCACTGACTTCATGTCACATGACCCACAAAGTGAGATGAAGCTTGCATCAGAGCCTACATCCCAAAGCCCTTGGATTTTGGAAAACTGTTCTACTGTGGTAGCCCAAACTCCATGCTGAGTCTTGACCTAAGTTCTGCCTCCACTGGAGTTCTTTCTCTTTGGGTCTAGGGTTAGAAGGTAGGTTCACGAACCCAAGATGGGCCTTGAGCTGGACTCTAGGAAGACGCAGGGCACAGTTTGACCCACAGAAGGCAGGAAGCCAGCACCAGAGTGCCTAGGGGCCAGAGTCCACATCTAGCCCCCTGAAAAAACAGGTGGTTGGTCAAGGGGCTACACCACAGGGAGATGGGCAATGCCATGGTCTTCAGGTCAACAACCTGAGTCAGGACTATGCTGCTAGTACCATGAGGCATGTGGATAGGAAACAAGGGAACAGGGACAGTGTAGGGCTGCTCCAACAACATGTGGAAGAATGGTAAGTGTCTCTCTCAAGGCAACTACAATCAGTGGTAAGTTGCTTGGAAACCTGGTCCTTGATCTCCTGAGGGAAAGAGGAGAAGCAGTCTGTCTTCCCTGGGCCAGAAGACTTGGGGTGACTCTGAAAAGGGAAACTTATATGAAGGGCACTTGGGGGTCCAGTCTGTGAGCATGAGGAAATAGCTCCAGTGAGTGTGTGCAAGGTTTGTACCACAGAGAGTAGCTGCATGTAGTTGGGTCAGCACCATGGACAGAGCACGGAGCGGTTCTCTGTGGGGCTTGAGAATGGTGGTCACACAATCAGCTTCCTTCTGCCATGGTCCCAACACTCCCAACTCTTAACTGGACTTGAACCAGTCCCCAGCGCAGTGCCATGAAGAGCTTTGGGCACATGGGAAGGAAGCCAGCACTGTGAACAGCTAAACAGAATGTGGTTCTAAAGTCCCAGAACCTGGGGATAGAATGGCTAAGCAGAGCAGGGCATCTTGGCTTCAACGCATTCCAACTCATGGTGCTCCCATGTGTATCAGAGCAGAACTGCATGCCCTAAGGGTTTCAGCAGATACAATTTTGGAAGCAAATCTTCAAGTGAGGTGCTTCTATGTGGACTAAAACTGCCCACCTTTTTCTAGCAGTTGAGTGTGTTCACCATTGGTACCACCTGGGATGCAGGCTCTGTTGAAGCAGCTTTGGCCCTCATGGGCCTGGACTAGAAGCATCTGAAATGTGGAGGCTTCTCTGTGTTCATTCTGTGTCCTGTGATAGTACTCAGTGGGGGCTGGAGGAGGTCCTGCAGGAGGCAGACCCCGGGCAGGGAGAGCTGGGGACTTCTGCTGCTGCTGGAGTCCCATAGGCATGTTGTAACTCACGCCCACCCTGTCTCTGCTTTCTCCCAACAAGCCAATGATGGACAGGAGCAAAGCGGCCGAGCTCCCCAAGCTCCAAGTCGGCTTCATTGACTTCGTGTGTACATTTGTATACAAGGTACTGCTGTCCACACCGAGCAGCAGGATGGATGGAGGCAGAGGGACAGGATCCCTTGGTACAGAGCAGCAGGGAGGGGCGTGTGGGCTGGATTTATAGCCAAGATGGTGCATTGTCACAAGAGCAGGACATGTGTGCAGAGTCACACGGGGATGGCAGAGTAGAGCAAATCAGAGAAGGCACACCTGTGACCCCTACACTGCTACCTGGTCCAGGTCACTTAGCCTAAGGACAGATGTCCATGAGGATAGAATTGTGTCTCTTTGTCACCATAGAGTAGGACCTGACATTTGCCCAGCTCATTGTAGACACTCAATGAGCATGCGTTGAATACCTGGTGAATACAACCAGAAGGCTCGTTAGATGGGAGGATGGAGAGACTTCTGCTCATGCACTTTGGACACGTCATCAGAGAAAACCAATCCCTAGAGAAGGAGATCTTGTTTGGTAAAGAATAAAGTCAGTGAAAATGAGAAGGATTCACACTGTAGTGACAAGAGTGGACTTTAACTTACCAAGATGGCGCACAACCAGGCAGTGTTCCATTTGTTCTGTTGTGTGTAAAGTTGCCATGAGTCAAAGGGCCAACCTGATGTCCCCGTGCTGTGTGGGGTCGCAGAGTCATGCCGTGTGATCCACACAAAAGCCTGTGGACACGGTATTGTGATGCCATATCAAAGGTCAGGAGGAGGCTGGCTCAGAGACACCGGCCAGCAATGTAGGAGAGCCCTCCCTGCTACAGCCAGCACCTCCCTTCACGGCTGCTGGTCACCAGGGTCCCTGGGGCCCTCACTCCCCATAGGTCGTGGTCTGGTGTCAGGCGAACTTTATTTAGTTATGAGCAGAGTCCGCCAGCTGCACTGCAGATACAAAACCAGGCTGAACCCAGGCTCCACCTCAGCTCCCAGAGCCACTAAGCTGCCCTTTAGAGAAACACCAACCACTTGGGACGCCACCCCTGCTGGACTGTGAGCGCTGGGGGATGGGGTGGGGCATAGAGCATGCGCAGAACAGGATGCACCTTCGGGTCCTGAACAGACACCCAATGGGGTGCTTAAAGAAAATAAGCATGTCTCTGTTTCCTGGGGCTGTTGTCACTGTGTCCCAGACACCTGTCTGGAGCCTGGGGGGGCGGGGGACGGGACACTGCTTCTTTGGAGACTTATCTTAAGAGGAGATGACTTTCCACCAGCTTCCGGTGGCTCAGGTGCTCCTGGCCTTGTAGCTCCGGCATCACTCGGCTCTCTTTCTCTATCTTCCACCCTGGTCGATTAGGGCCCACCCTGCTCCACTCTGACCTCATGTTAACAGATAACAGAGTCAAAGAACCTATTTCCAAACAGGATGCTGTTCACAGGCACGGGGTTTAGACCTTTCTGGGAAACACAATTCAATCCGCACCCTATCCTAGTCCAGCGCCTCTTCCCACTGCCTCCCGCCTCCACACCAGACCCGGAGGAGAGACCCAAGTCCTCCAGCAGTGCGGTGGGGCTGGGGAGACTTCCCTCTCATGGCCTCCTGCCCTGTTGTGTTGTTGCTAAGTTCTGTGGAGTCCAGCCTGCAGCGCCACGCCAGGACTCTGCCTCTTCGCATGCTCCTTGTAAATATCGCAGCCCCACCCCTTCCCACATGCTCTTTGTTGGAGGGAGCCATGAATTGAAAACTACATGTGCTCATGTGTCACTGGGCAGGTAGGTGTCTCCTTGGGGACAGGCGGCAGTGGTACACACATGGCACCTGTGCACACATGCATACACGCGACACCCAACCCTTACCCACCAGGAAGCTCTTTTGGAACCAGCTTTGGCCAAACTAGTTAGTGTTGGCCCACATCATGTGTTTACACTTCTCACAGCCCAGTGTGCAATGGGAGAAGTGGGAGGAGCCACAAGACTGGTGTGTCTGCCCACACCTTTCCACCCCTCCACCTGGGGCACCCTTCAATCCTGCACCCACTCCCCGACCCCCATATGCTTCCTGCTGCCAAAACCTTTTATTCTCTTCTTGGGTTCCTCTCTCATTAAGATGGTCTGCCTCACATGAATTTACACCAGCAATTCCCCTTTCTAGATGTCAATGGACCAAAACTTCCAACCGTTCAATCCTGGCCAGCAAACATGTTGCATTGCTGTTGTTGTTAGGTGCCATCGAGTTGGAGTTGGTACTGATGCATAGTGACCCTATGCACAACAGAACGAAACACTGCCTGGTCCTGGGCCGACCCCACAATCGTTGCTCTGCCTCAGCCCATTGCTGCCGCCATTGTGCTAAACCATCTTGCTGGGGGGCTTCCTCTTTTTCTCTGACCCTCCACTTTACCAAACATGATGTCCTTCTCTAGCGACTGGTCCCTCCTGACAAAATGTCCAAAGTACAAGAGACAAAGTTTGGAAAACCTGGCCTCCAAGGAGCAACTCTGGCTGTACTTCTTCCAACACAGATCTGTTGGCTCTTTTGGCAGCCCATGGTAGTTTCTCCAACACCATAACTCAAATACATTAATTCTTCTATGTCTTCCTTATTAACTGTCCAATTTTCATATGCATATGAGGTTATTGAAAATACCATGGGTTGGGTCAGGCACACCTTAGTCCTCAAGCTGCCATCTTTGCTCTTCAACACTTTAAAGAGGTCTTGGGCAGCAAAGTGCCTAATGCAATACATTGTTTGATTTCTTGACTGTGACTTCCTCAAGTGTTGATGTTTGATCCAAGCAAAATGAAGTCTTTGACAATTTCAATCTTTTCTCCATTTATATGGATGTTATTTACATGTCTAATGGTGAGGATTTTTGTTTTCTTTACATTGAGGTGCAACCCATACCAAAGGTATGATCTTTGAGCTTCATCAGTGAGTATTTTAAGTCCTTTTCACTTTCAGCAAGCAAGGTTGTATCATCTGCATATATTAAGTTGTTGATGAGTCTTCCTCCAATCTTGATGCCACATTTTTTCATATAATCCAGCTTCTTGGGTTATTTGTTCAGCATACAGATTGAATAAGTATGGTGAAAGCACACAACCCTGTTGCACACACCTTTCCTAATTTTAAACCACTCTGTGTTTCCTTGTTCAGTTTGAACAACTGCTTCTTCTTTTTTTAAGGTGTTTATTGTGTATAACAACAACAATTGTGGATTGAGTGAAAGTTTACAGGGCACATCATCAGTTTCACATTCAACCATTCATATGACTGAACAACTGCTTCTTGGTCTATGTACAGGTTCTTCATGAGCACAATTAAGTGTCCTGGAATACTCATTCTCTGCAATGTTGTCCGTAGTCTGTCATGATCCACAAAATGGAAAGCCTTTGCATAGTCAATAAAGCACAGGTAAACATCTTTCTGATATTCTCTGCTTTTAGCCAAGATCTGACATCAGCAATGATATCCCTTGTTCCATGTCCTCTTTTGAATCCAGCTTGAACCTCTGTAAGGTTTCTGTCAATGCATGGTTGTACCCGTTTTTGTATTACCTTTAGCAAAATTTTACTTGCATGCAATATTAATGATAATGTCCAATGATTTCTGTATTCCATTGGATCACCTCTCTTTGGAATGGGCACAAATACGAATCTCTTCCAATCAGATGGCCAGGTAGTTGTCTTCCAAATGTCCTGGCATAGATGAGTGAGTGCCTCCAGTGCCACCTCACTTTCTTGAAAGATTTAAATTTGTAGTCAATTTCCAGAGCTTTGTTCTTTGCCAATTCCTTCAATGCACCTTGGACTACTTCCTTCAGGATCACTGGCTGTTGATCATACGTTACCTCTTGAAATGGTTGAACATCGGCCATTTCCTTTTAGTACAGTGACTCTGTGTATTCCTTCAATTTTCTTATGGTGCTTTCTACATTATTCAATATTTTGCCCATTGTTATTGTTGTTAAGTGCCATCAAGTTGCTTCTGACTCATGGCAACCCTGTATAGGGTTTCCGAGGAGCAGCTGGTGAGTTTGAACTGTCGACTTTGCAGTCCAAGCCAACCTTGTAGTCCAGCACATTAACCTGCAGTGCCACACCAGAACTCCTTCAATATTTCAGGTTGAGGCTTGAATTTTTACTTCAATTCCGTCGGTTTGAGAAATTCTGAGTGTTTTAACTCCAGTTCTTTGCATATCTCATTATAATATTTGACTTTGTCTTCTCAAGCTGACTTTGAAACTTTCTGTTCATCTTTTACCTCATCTCTTCCATTGGCTTTAGCATCTCTATGATGGAAAGCAAGTTTCAGAGTCTTTCTTCTGACACCTATTTTGGTCTTTTTCCTCTTCTTCTTCTTTTTTAACAGTGCAGCAATGTCTTATTATGTATTGGTGTTTCTTTTTGTGTTTTGTTTTTTTTTTCCTTAATCTCTCCATTGTTGTTGTTGTTGTCAGGTGCCATCGAGTCGGAACCGACTCATAGCGACCCCATGCACAGCAGAACGAAACAATGCTCGATCCTGGGCCAACCTCAT